CAGTGTATTTCAAGTTTTCAAACAAAACAAATTTTAAAAAAACACCATTTGCACATAAAAATGGTTAAGATGTTAAATTTTATGTGTTTTTTTACCACAATACAAAATAACATTATTTTAATCCTAATATTTCCACAGTATTTCTTTAACAATTTAAACTTAAAGTGTACATGTAGAATTGCTTCCAACTCTGTTTATTTACTTGTTTTGTATTGTATAATTTTATGTTTGTTAATTTTAAGGTGTGCATCTAACTTTTCATTTCCTTTGATTTAGCAATTCTTTTTCTTATTAACTCAGTTTAGTATCTAAATTGTGCTATAAAATAAAGCTTCAAAGTGAATTTTTACATAAAATTGAACAAATATTGTAATACCTCCAACACAGTTTAAACCCTCCACTTGCTTTTTAAATTTAAATGTAAAATTAAAAAATTATATTGTTTTGTGCTATGTTCAAGACATTTTAAAATTGGTGTATATCTTCTGCATAGGTAAAAATGTATGTAAAACAGAAAATACATTTTAAAGATAACAACAGTGTCTCATATGTGACTGATGAATACTATGAATTAATAGTGAGATTCAAATAAAAATGGCTAAGTAAAGCTGATTATTATACTGTATTAATTTTTCATAAAAATGGACTTACAAATCAGTAACTTACAAAAATGTTTGAATATTTTTACCTTAGTATAAAAAACCACACTTATGTATAATTATCTTGATCATATATGGGAGGGAAAAATTTTAATGTTCTTCGTGGTTATTGCCAAAATTCAATTATAGGTAATAATTTTGATTTCTCAGCATAATTAAATCTCTTCATAACTCTGTATCATATATTAAACTGGTCTTTTCATTTGAGAAAAACGTAAAAACTCATTACAGGAGAAATAGTATTATGATAGAAAAGTTGCTTTATTTGTAAAACTAATTAAAATAATGGATTAATAGGTTATCAAACTTGGCTTGGATGGCTAAATCTACCTATGCAGTGTACAAAGGCATAATCATTTAACACTGAGCAGTAGAAGCCCAAAATTTCCTTGAAAAATTGGCTACTGGAAGATCGGGGAGCTCAGAAAAGAGACTACTACATATTTTAATTTACACACTTAGAGAAAAATTGCAAGTCAACGAGCAGGGGATAATTTAATAAGCACAAATAGGTTAGATGGCCTCACTTGGAAAAAATAGTTTAGATAGCCAATACATAATAAACATCAAAATAAGTTATGTGTGGATTAAAGAGTCAAAGTGTTCAGAAATTGAATATTTAAAAGAAAGAAAATAGACCTTTTCATTAAACTTCTGGCTAACATAATTCTTTAAGCTTAGGACCAAATATTTATAAAACATATGTAAATACATCAAATATATATACAAATATCATTTTCAGCTTCCTATATATATTTATATAAAATGAAGTGTGTGTGTATATCCATTCCAAAAGAAAAAGAATAATATATTTTGTCAAAGAAGAATCTTTAAAAATTAAAAATACACACACATAACCAATACAGTTTAAAAAACCTGGCAGTGATATTAAAAGAAAGTAATAGAAGTAAAAGGATTACTTATGAAAGTAAAGCCTTGGAGTATAAAAAATATTAATTCATTAAGTAGTATCTCATGGATTTTATAAGAATAGAAATGTTTCATGGAGAAAATATGCCAGAAAAGGTGTTTGTATTTTCAAAGAGAGTGCTCATATAATTTGATAATGAAAAATATGTCCCAATCTGACTCACATAAATGGGCAAAAAAAAAGTAAAGGACATAAAATTCAAAAAGGAGTATTATAGTCTCAAAAATATATAAATTTACATTCAAACTAAAAGCAAATAAGGAAATTCAAGTACAAGAGCAAAATATTTTTAAAGTATTGATTTACAATTTTATGAACACTTGAAATGCTAATAGGAAATTTTCATAGAGGAAAAATTTCTCAATTTTTTTATGGTGGAATTATATGTTGTTCCAATATTTTTAGAAAGCAAATTAGCAATATGAACAAAATGCCAAAAACACTGATATCCTTTAACCCAGTGATTCTACCGTTAGAAAATATGCTATTAAAGTTCCAAAATAGTGAGAAAAGATACAGTTTCTGGCAGAAGTAACACCTACTTGAGTGTGGTTGGTAGGGTACATGAATATCTGTCACGAGGTGGACAGCAATTTAAACATTTCACCTAAAATGTCATATGATGTGCTTGAATGTGATACTGTTATGTTACAGAATTATATAATTACATGCTTATGATTTTGTAATAAAAGGTTTTGTAATAAAAAAGGGGTGTTATTTGTGTCAGATCCTGTATATTCAAGATCATCAATACATTATTTATAATATGTAGATATTTTAAAAAATCCCAACCCAAACAAAGCCAGCTTTGGTATCCAAGAGCAAAAGGATATTTAAGGAAGTATTACATAATTAATAAAATAAATATTATGAAGACTACTTATAAGAAAGGTTTGACATGTTAAGTAGAAAAACAAAAGATACCAAATTATCTGCCTACTACAATTAAAACTGAAAAAAGAAATAAGTCACTCAAATAGGGAATGACCAAGGAGGCACACTAATAGGTTAACAGTGAGCACATTGGAGTGGCAACAATATGGATGAATTTTTTTCTTTTTCTTTTTCAAATTTCTATCATATGTTATGTGATGTTTATAAATAAAACAATCATTTCAAAATCAGAATTATTGTTAAAATTATGAATCAATCTAAATAATTATACCTATGCATGGTACAACAATATAAATATACTTTGGTTACAACAAACTTTAAATACATTTATCATTATTGAAAACATAGTCCTATGAAAATATATAATCATTGTTCTGTTCACCTGGAAGCACTGTGTGAAGTTTTTCTTTATCACAAACTCTTAGCATCTTTCATTTTTATATTTACAAATTTAAAAGGATTACTTAGGAAAGTAAAGCCTTGGAGTATAAAAAATATTAATTCATTAAGTAGTATCTCATGGATTTTATAAGAATAGAAATGTTTCATGGGGAAAGTGTAATTTTAAGGTCTGACCAAAAAAGACAAGAAAATGCAAAGCTTTAAAGTCCTATGTTTAAAAGAAAACTGAAACCAATTGTATTCAAAACAGGCAACAAAATATGACTTAAACTCACATGAATGTTATGGAACTTGAATCTCACCATACAGCAGATTGTCTGCTACAAGGTAGGTAAAATGATTCCATCTTCCTGGGCGCCTTTCCTCTCAGTTATTCGAAAGGTAATTCCTTGCAAAGCCCCCAACCTTGTAGCTATTGCTTCACAGGGGAACCAGCATGCATGCTTTCTCTTAATTGCTTATGTTTGTTAAAACTGGGGGGGAAATTTTTAGTGCTTTCAGTAAAGTCTTACAGTTGGCTGTCTTTTCTTTCTCTACATCAGAATCCACTTAATGTTACATGAGGGATTACAGTAACAAATGTATGTTTTTTGTGTTACCTCAATTCATTCTGAATTTCCCCACTGCATAATGCTGCAGTATAGCTCATTCAGCATTTGATCTTGCAGCCAGGCTAACCAGTACTTGTTTTCATAGCTTTCCAGAGAGATATAAAGTATACTTATGTACAAAGTGTTAAGTAGAATAATTTAACAACACTCCTAAATTCCTACTGGCTTTTATTTAGTTTGAAACTGAGCAGTAGCTTTCAATAAACTGCAGGGACAACAGAAAGAGGGAATGGCCTTATTTTTCTTTGTTCATGAATGGATGAAGAATAAAATGTACTGAGCAATTGAATATAGAGGCCTGAAGAAGCCCTAAAATTGAAAAGATAATTGCAGATATATTTGCCTTCTACAGGAAAACAAAGAAAGCTTTAGCACAAACATCTTCAGGCCTCACTTTTAAGAGAGCCAGGTCATCTAAGCTATTTCAAAATTTCTTCCCCTTGCTAAGAATGTGACATGTTATTTCAGGCAATACTTTTACTTCCTATATTACTGTATGTACAGACTAGTATATGAATTTGGCATAGTGAATCTATGCATTATATTCATGCTCATTAATCAGCTTCTGATACACTCTTATTGCTTGAAGTTGAATTTGCAATGATTAATTTAAAAATTTCCTGAGAATCCAAAATTCTCAGGAAAAATTTCATTTTTCTGGTGCTAAGCCTCCAGGAAGAAATTTCAGAATTATTCTTAAAAGGAAATAAAGCCCAATTGAGACATAATTTTTAAAAATAAATTTGTCAAAAAGTGGTGGGCTGCACATGTACATACACACATATAATTTTCTAATGTGAGCTTAAAAAAATTTTCAAACTTCAACACTTCCTACCCTGCAAGCATCAAATCCAAAGTTTTCTGGCTGGACTGACTTGCTGATTTCTCTACAGGATATGCTTGTGTGGTTGACTTTCAGTATCAAAGCTGAAGCTCAAATACCTGCAAACTTCATTACTTGCATGATTATCAAGAGAAAAATGAAAATTGGAATTCATAAAATTCCTAAGTACTGATTTTAATTTTTAGCTTCTACCTCACCAAATTTACAAAAAGCAGTTGAAATGCTGAAGTGACAAGCAGCAACAGAAGGAAACCCAAGCAAAGGATTGCAAGGGTTCAGAGCCTGTCTAAAGGAGAAACAATTGTAACACATGAGGCAAACCGGAAATACTACTTTCATATTATTTTCATAATAGCTTTACTTGATACACACATCTCCAATTTTCAGTGCAAATTTGGAAGTTTAAAATAAATATTTATATGCAGCCTCCCTCAATTTTGAAATGCAATGCAAATAAGAATATACATTGTTCATATATAAAAATGTCAATTTAGTAATGTATTATAATTGCTCTTCTAAAGTGAAACAGCAAATATTCTTTTTCTCCACACCTGCAATAATTAAGTTATACATACAATTCACTTCAATATTGTAATAATATTATTCAACGACATCCAGATGCACACGTTTCTGTCCTTTTGTCCTAAAGGTTATCTCACCTTGCACTTTGGACACTTCTGGGCATTCCTCTGTCCGTGCTCAATTTCGCTGGCCCAGTGACGCAACAGTTTGTCTCCTTTTTTGTACTCCTTGCAGTTAACACCTTCATGCCAAGGAGAGTGGCACTTAAAACACCAGACGAATTGGCAAGTGGGGCACTGGATCTGTGTAAGGAAAAGTAGGGTTAAGTGCTCGTAGAAATACTGCAAGTGTCTAAAAGATAAAAGTGGTGATTCTTGGGGAAATTACGATAGCTGAAAGGTTATCATTTGTTCAGATTTAAAGTAACTCCCCTCTAAAAGATATAAACTACAACAAGATATGACTATTTTATTATTAAAAGAGGAAAGAATTGCTTTGGCATAGATGATTTGGCTGTTTGTACACTATACTAGAAATAAACGCTTGAGACGTCCTGGAAATCATTTTGGTCTTAAGAACGTTCCCTAGATTGAAACACAGAATAAAACCTGAAGTCTCACCGTGCCTCAAATCCACACACTCAGGCTGCTGTCCTTAAATTTGCCTTTCTCTTGACTCAATTTCCCCAGCATTTTAATTGCTCTTCTTATCAATGGCTTCACTCACTTTTTTAAAAATCAAAATCTCACAGATGCTTCATCAAATAAAAAAAAATACTGGCAAGTAAACTGCTATACCACTATCTGCCGTGAAGCACCACTTAAAATAACGGACACTCTCTTTTTTAATTATAAAAAATAATACAAAGGATCCTATTAGAAATAATATGTCTTGATGGTTCTGTGGCCTGTTACCTCTTAACTCGGGAACCATCATAAAGATGTTTTTGTATTTTCACTGTATGGTACTGTATGTGAGAGTGTGTGTATGTTCATGGAACATATTTGTTTTCCACATGACATGGAAGACTTTATCTGACTTCCTTTATTTTGAATGACAGTGGAGTATCTCCTCCTCACACAATGTTTCTGGTCCTCACCCTCTAAAAACATATGAACATAACTTGACTTTCCTAGACCTGTGTGATGAAAGTCAATTAATAAAATGTCTAACTAGGAACAATATTGATAACTGACTATTCTTCTCTGAGCTCCTGTATATTAATTACTTCACTGTAACACGTGTGAATTTACTGACTACATTTTGAAAATCAGTTAGAATTCCTCTTGGTAAACTATACAAAATTGCTACTTACTTTTTTTTTTGAAAACTACTTTTTTTGACAACAGTGGTTCCAATATATACATTAATTGAGTGGCAATTATAATCACAACTCTTCCTTTTATAATTCAAAGCACTGCATTTTTCACTTATGTAATGAATAATGTTCTTCCCATGCAAATATGAGGTAACAAAAGTACTTGTCTTCTTAATTATATCAAAACAAAATAATATTTTGTCATAAAATTTTAAAATCTTCATGTTTTATTTATTTTTTGCAATTGTTTATATAGTAATGTTTGTACTGCTGCAATACATGCACTACCTTGTTTTACCAACAAAATAGGTAAGATCCACTGCTGCAAAGTAGGTAAGACCATCACAAGTTTACAGAAGAAGGAACACAAGTCTCAGAGAATACATAATTTGCTCAAAATAAGTAAGTAAGTTAAGTAAGTATAGCAAGTAAGTGTTAAAAAGAAATTCAAACAAAATGTGTGGCTGCAAGCCCAAATTTTTTTCATCATGCCACAATCCTTTCTCACACTAAACATCATTCTTTCTATGATGATTAAAAATCAAAGTGTAGAAGTCAAAGAAGGTCATGTGATTAAACTATTCAGTAAGTCAGAATTTTCCATGATTACCACTATAAAGAGGAATTTGAAAATCTTTTCAAGGCTTTACTCACAGAAATTAAGATAATCGTTGCCTTTTTTAGAAAAAGGGATGTTACTAGTCAGTCACTTAACTATTTTTGCCTTTTCTGATCATTAATGTGTACATGAGTCATATTTAGAGCAAGAAGACCGAGTTAAAGTGTGTGAGCTCCAGATGATAAAAGGATATAAAATGATCATTCTCCTATGTCACTGAACCATGAAGAAAAGACCTAAATATTACATGGAGCCTAAATGAATGAAATTTCAAACATAATGAATGAAATGGAGAAGATGTCAGGAGATTTTGCCTTTCCTTGAGTAGCTGCCATTAAGTCAGATGGGTCTAAATACTTAATTCAGTTCTGTTACATTAGACATTATTCATAATTATAAATCACCAGACTCTAACATCATCAAATAAAGAAACTCTCTGGTTTTAAATGCCAGTCTTAGATTATATTTATGAAATGAATATAAGAGTGCATATAATGGTACTTCAAAATTGGGATTAACTCTATGGATATTAAACATTATAATGGTCCAAGGATCTTTGGGACAAAGGGCTGAACTATTACATCTATGAATTTCTAATTAAGACAATTAGAAATGTATGATTCTCCTAAGTTCCCAGAATCATAAGGAATCTGACACATGGTGTCAATACCAGGGACTCTGGCAATTAAATGCTACTGCAGATCCTACTGCCAGTCTTTCCATCAACACAGACTTGGAGGCAAACTGTGAGAGGAGTTTTGCATCAATCCCTCAAGTAACCATGAGTAATTTAAATAGAGACTCGACTGCTTACTGTCTCTCACTGAAAACAGTAAAGTAACCATTTCTTTGCTTTAGATTAAAAAAAAGAAAGGGACTGTTAGCCAATTCCAACCACCTTGTTATTCAGAGACTGCATCTGACTGGTCTAAATACCGACTTTTTGGTCTGAAGATGCCTATGCACTCTGACCTTAACCATATTCAAAATTGGCCTTATATAACACATGGAGACATCGACACTGCATCTTCCTCAATTACTTGCTTTACATTTACTCCTCCACGTGAAATACCATCTCACAGCCACAGATTCCCACACACAGTGCCTGCCCTCTGAGTAGTTATATTCACACAGAGGCCTCCAAGCTCTATCCTTGCTATCGCAGTGTGGTCAGAAGAGCAGCACCATCAGCATCACCTGGGAGCTTGTTGGGAACAAAGAATTTTTGCCACACCCCAGACCTATTGAATCAGAGCTGCATTTAGCGAGGTCCCCAGGTAGACTCACTGAATTTTAAGAAGCACTGCTCTATGCCATGTGACCCCACCTCCCTGGCCACATCCGACCTACACCAGGAATGAGCCCCCATGCCACACACAGGCACCCTGCTGCTGGCAAGCAGCCTAAGCAGTGGCTGGCATGTGCTTTGTGCAGCTGGGCACCTACTGCTGAATAGAGATTAACCACGCTGGACTTTCTTTCTTGAAGAGTAAAATGGTGATACACTTATACTCAACCTTTGCTGTGGAGGCAAAGACAGAGGAGAGCTTCGTGACCATGGTGCGGATCAAAGGAGAAGGGAACAGCGGTCACGGCTAGTGAGATAATAAAGGGGCCCTCATGCTACCAGAGTTAGTGTCCGATTCTCCGTGAGGCCTGCCGTGGTGGCTGTCAAGGCTGCCTTCCTGCCCTTCTGCTTCCTGCAGAGCCTGACAGTAAACCTTAATTGACATAGCTTGAGAGAGCACATCTCTGCTTCTTGTAATTGTAGAGAGTCCAATTAAAACAATCTGTCTACTGAAATCGTACCCAGATCAAATGCTACTTGCTTCAAGATGTCTTCCCTGTTCGTCCCAACCAGATTTGGTACCTGTCTTACAGAATGTGTAGATGTCTAATCTCCCCAATGGCCTGCAAGCTCACTGGGGGCAATGGCTGGACCTCATTCATCCTCTATTTCCTGAGTTAAGCAACACAGAGCTTCTGGCACATGGAAAGTACTCAGTAAATTATTTATAAAATGAATTAGTTTGCAAACAGCAAGTACCACATATTGGCTAACATTAAACAAATTCAAAGAAAAGCCAACACATGTAATTTGTGAGCAGTGACTGAGATGATATTACTTCTTAGGTTAGCAGATGATGTTTACTAAATATTTTATCCACATGACATTTTACTGAGAATCATGATTAATGTGCAAACTCTTCTAGAAGAGGCAGGGCTGCAAGCATTTCAAGAATAAAGTCATCAGAGTTGGGAATCTTAACTCGTCCCAGAATCCATGAATGCAAAATAGCTTTATATTATATTTTTAACTTTTGAATTCCCTTAGTTTTTCCAGAAATCTGGGCTATAATAACACTCAGATGACAAGTTAAACCAACTCACTTTACCTAAGCAAATGGTATTTTTTCTTGACAGTGAATCATGCCAACTAGAAAAATAACCCACAAAATAAAGAGTTCAAAACCAAAGAGCACGCCAGTTAAGTCTTTCTTGGCCTAAATTCTATACACTCTTATATACACATTAGATTGGCCAAAAAGTCCATATGTTTTTTTTTTCTGTAAAATAAAAGATGAATTTTTCATTTTCACCATTAAGTTTATTGATTTGGATATTTTGAGTATGTCGGGTATCTTTCACATGGTATAGCACTGATTATTCTCAATTAATATCTCAATTTGATCTCTATCAACTTAAACTGGTCTACTTGACCATGGAGCATTGTGCGGTGAGAAATCTCCAGCATGAAAATTACAAATCACTTTTGACACATTCCATCAGTCACAGCACCTTCTCTATGTACTGTGCAAATCTTTTTGCATTTCAGTTGCATCTTACTTTCTTGAAGTAATAAAACATAATATGCTGGAAATGTGTATTTTCTTCCATCTTCAATATTAAAAGTTACACAAAAGTTCACCAATTTTGATAAATTATTTTTTAATGCCTGCTGATATGACAGCTGTCACAAAAACAATCTAACAAAATTGTTTCAAGTGAAGTTAAAGACTACTAAGCTCTGCTAGAGCCATTTTACAGGAAAAAACCAAACGATCTTTTTGTCCAAAGAATTATTTTAAATAAATCACAAACCCATTGCCTATTAAACTCAAAATATTAGACAATCACCACATGTAAATTTAGTATTACAAATGTAAGCTGTTTTCCAAGAAGAAATTGTTTTTTTTTTTTTATTTTTTATTTTTTCAAATACGTTTGTTTCTGCCTATCCCCCACCACTTTCCCTTGCCCCCTCCCTCCTTCCAAGAAGAAATTGTTTTAAAACTTCAGGTTAAGACAAATACTCAATAATAAAACATATCCATCAATTCACTTGCTCATACAACACATTTATT